GAGTAAATGACAGCTAGTAAGTGACAGTTAAAGTAGAAGTCTGGCCCAAGTTGAGCTGAATCTCAAGGTCATGCTTACTATCCAAACAGGTTGCTTTTCCTTTGATGTGGTGAGTAGTAAGAGCTTCTAAATCGTGTTCTTTCTGCATAAGAAAACGGAATATTTCTTTTAAAGGGGAGGAAGAGCATGCTATTGAATGTTCCCAATGATATGAGTAATGGTGTGTTTGAACTAGTTCGCTCTACTGTCCTAAAAACTCCTCTCCCATTCGTAGGACTGCCCTCCATTTGGCCTGTGCCAGTGGCCACGGAGGCGTGGTAGCTCTCCTTCTGGAGCGAGGATGCCAGGTGAACACGCAGGACAGGAAGAAAAGGACGGCGCTGATCAAGGTGTGTAGCAGCCAGCCTTGCCCGCGTGAGATGGATTCCATGTAATGACTTAAATCAAAACTGAATTGATCTGGTTTATGTAAGTATAATGAATGGTGGGACTTGTGGCATGTTGACTTGGAATTCCTAGCACTTACAGTCTGTTTCTTGGCATGATACCGACAGGCTGTACAGTGCGAGGCGGAGGAGTGCACGGACATCCTTCTTAAAAGTGGAGCGAACGTCAATGCTGCAGATGTACTTGGCAACACTGTGCTCCACTATGCTGCATCCTCAACACAACATGTATTGCGGCGAAGCTTCTATCCCATGCTGCGGACATGGACGTGAAAAACCAGGTATAGCTCCACTCGCTTTCTTTACAAAATATTTGAAATGCAGGTTCTTTTTTAGCCACAGGTGTTTTATTTCTAATAAATGTACCAAATAGGCTACATCAGGCCCTGTTACCTTGGAAACAAAGCCAAAGCCAAGGCCAGGGGCTAGAGAAAGGTGATGCCCACAGAAAAGGCAGGGCTCTGTCTCCCAGCCCCTCTGCTACCCTGAAAGGAACAACTCTCCATTAGGAAGTGCTTGGGAGTGAGTGGTAGGTTCAGAGCCCACAAAAGAGGAAGGCCTTGGGGGAGTGAAGTGATGATGTGGGCTGGCTGCCTTCAGAGGCAGGGTGGCTACTGGGGATGGGTGGGAGGGAGACCCAGTATGCAGCAGGGGAGCTGGGTGAGTGCACTTGGGCAGGGGAGGCAGCAGGCCACAGGCCCTGAGCACCCCAGGACCTCTGATAATAGGATCAGGACAAGTGAGGTCAGGTCATGTTTGATGACCAGCAAGGGTATTCACTGGTGCTGGTGGCCATGTGGCCCACCATATACACCTTGAGGTCTTCCATGCTTAGCCTGGTGTAGTTCCTCAGCAGGGCGGTGGCTGTATGTGGGCAGCAGGTGATGGCAAAGCTGGTCCACCTGCTTTTGCTCTGGGACATCTGTTACCTCCTGGCACTGCAGCCCTGCCAGGAATGCCCTCTGCTGACATAGTAGGTGCAGTTTTACGTATTGGAGGCTCAGGCACTTCCTGAGTGAAAATATTTGGAAAGAACTTAATTGTCTAAGATTTCACTTTAAATAATGAGATTTCCAAAGATTGCATTAGAAGTTACAGCTTTCTTTTATTTATTTATGGCAGATATTTGTGCAAACATTGCATTTGTTGCAGGTAAAAAAATTCAGTTTTTTCCCACTCACATTTTTTTCTGATTGGTGTAAAAATCAATGAAAGCAAAACTTGCCTTAGAAATAGGCTTTGTCTTAACACTGAAGCAAAACAAAAAACATCTGACAGTATAACCAACTTCTTGCTGCTATCGATAAGTTTCTGTTTTATTAAAAATAAATTTATCTAAAGATGATTTCTGTCTCATTGCCCAAGGCTTAAGAGGAAATTAAAGGAAACAGACTATGGATTGAGCAGTTGAAATACTCAGGCTAGTTTGGAAATTGGGCAATTGGGAAGTAGCAAGAGGAGGTTTTTGTTTTCTTTCTGTTTATGTAGTTGTTGGGCAAGCTGCTCTTCACTTGTTGAGGAGAAACATTGTCATCTTGGGAAAGAGTGTGAGTGAACTGTACACTTGCCGAGACATCATTTTTATGGGGACTCTGAGGAAATCACGCTGGTGGTGAACAGGGGGTAAGTGGGAAATAAGAGAGAAGAACAGATAATGAACTGACCAGTGTCCTATTCTGGCAGAAACAGCCACTTAGATTAGAGCCTAGACTTGGCTTTCAAATCTAGGATGTGTTGATGGGAAGTAAGGAATGCATGGATAATGAAATCAAGTTGCTTCTGAATTGACTAGTCCCTGTTCTACCGCTGTATACCCAGGAGAATGAAATGCAGTTTTGTTAAGTGACTTTCACGTCTTGCACTTTTCTTTGTGCAATTCCTCAAATGAGAGAAGGAACTGGCCATGTGGGTAAGCGATGAGTCCGAACTGGTCGGTTGTCTCCTGTGCGAGTTCTCAGCTAAAATCGTGCCAGTGAACCACAATCACCTGGCAGCATTTACAAAAATGTACAAGCCTAGGCTCTCCCCTGAAGATTTTGATTGAATAAATCTAGTAAGGCCTGGACACAGATATTTAGAAAGATTTCCTTGAGATTCTGATACAACCCTTGGGTAAGAACTGTTGAATGGCTACGTGTAATACGTGTAAATCCACAGATCTTGAAAAGAAGACCTCTCTAGAAGAGTGGGAGTTTGACAGATGCTGCCTCCTTCAGTGCTCTCCTTTCCAGCCACATAAGCTTGACTTGACTTTTATCCGTCTCTACTTCTGTGCCTGACAAGTTAAAACGAGTATTATTGGCAGTATCTGTGGGCTTGAAGAATAACTCCTTTTTCCTTCCAATCACTGATCATTCAGTGGCACTCAGAGAGTCTTAGAAATTTGCTTATGGTGAATGATTTAATAAGTAGAGCCCTTTAAGGATTTTGCATCTCTTGTTACCATCCAAGTCATTAGGCCAACAGGGTTTTCCTGACTGCAATAATAATAAATCATGACCCTTCCACTGGTTAAAGCTGTGTGACCAAATCTTGCAATATATCAGTTAGATTCACTGAGCACCTGCATCATCAAAATGTTTTTTTTAATTGCAGTATACTTGATTTACAGAGTTGTGTTAGTTTCTGCTTTATAGTGGTGATTCAGTTATATATATATATATACACACCACACATATGCATACACACACACACAC